AGGGCCCGTGGGCAGGAGAGCCAGGGCCCGTGGGCAGGAGAGCCAGGGCCCGTGGGCAGCAGTCAGTGTCTCCCCTGCACAGAGTGCGGGTTCCGGAGCATGTGGAGAGAGGGAAGGGAAGTGGACAGAAACATTCTAGGTTTGATTAAAACTATAAGCCACAGATCGAAACAGCTCAAAGAATGACAAGCAGAATAAACAAATCAAACATATCAAGCTAGAGCACAACATCATCAAATAGCTGCCAGCCAGTGACAGAGACAAAACCGAGCAGTCATAAGGGGAAAAAGGGCTCATTATAAACCAGAAAATGAAGATGACAAGAATGGCTACATTCTCATCAGGAACAATGCAAGTCAGAACACAACAAACAATATCCTCAAAGTGCTTTGAGAAACCAACTGACAAGCTGGAATTCTATTTCCAACAAAAATGCCTTTCAAAAAGGAAGACAAAAAAAGATTGTTTTCAGACAAACAAAAGCTGAGATAATTCATCAGCAACAGACTTGTGCTACTAGAGACGTGAAAGGAGGTTCTTCAGGCCAAAGGGAAAAGACACCAGAGAAGCCTGGAACGACACAAAGGGATGGGGACACGGAAGGTGCTCAAAATTACTGACAAGAGTTCTCCCTCCAAATCCCTTTAAAAGATAAATCCCTTTAATCAGCAAAAGGAGAGCAGCCTTTTGACCACTCAGCTGCAAACCGAAAGATCTGAACCCACCACCCACCACCCACCACTCCACTGGGGAAAGACGTAGCAATCTGCTTCCACAGGGATCTACAATCTGGGAAACCCAATGGGCAGGTCTAGTCTGTCGTATCGTCAACATCATGCTAAATGGAGAAAAGGCTGAAGTTAATCAAGATTTCATTTTGCTGGGATCCCACCATTAACACTCATGGAAGCAGCAGTCAAGAAATCAAACATACTGCATCAGGCAAATCTGTTGCACAGGACCTTTTTAAGAGCAAAGAAGTCAGTTTGAGGACTAAGGTGCGTTTGAACCAAGCCATGGTATTTTCAGTAACCTCATATGCAGTGAAAGCGGGACAGTGACCAAGACCGTAGAGAACTGATGCATGTGAGTCACGGTGTTGGAGGAAAATATTAAGAGTGCCATGGACTGCCAAAAGAACCAATAAATCTGTGTTGCCAGAAGTGCAGCCGGAGTGCTCCTTAGAAGCCAGGGTGGTGAGGCTTTGTGTCTTGTACTTTGGACATATTATCAGGAGGGATCAGTCCCTGGAGAAGGATGTGGTGGCAGCATGGGCTCAAGCGTCATAACAATTGTGAGGTTGGCACAGGACTGGAGAGGGTTTCCTTGTGTTGTACAGACGGTTGTCATGAGTCGGAAGGGACTCCTGAGCAGTAGGTGACCGTTTTCTCACCCCGGTAAGGAGTCCTGGATAGACTCCTGGCAGCATAATGGATTCCGAGCTGCACTGCTGACCACAAGGCCAGTAGTTCGAACCTACCAGTCACTCCATGGGAGAAAGCCGATGCTGCCTGCTCCCGTAAAGATTTATAGCCTCAGAAATCCTACACTGCCACCTCCACCAGTAAGTCCTAGTGACACAGCTGTCTCCTGTCCTACCAGGGGGCTGAGTCAGAAGCAGCGTGGTACATGCATGTCCCTGTCTAGTTGGCTCTGTGTGCTGGGGTACAACTGTACTCCACAGAGTTTTCCAAAGCAGATGATCGGGTCTTTCTTCCAGGTGCCTCTGGGTGGACTCAAACCTCCAACCTTGGGGTTAGCAGCTACATGAACTAGGGATTTCCTTAGAAATAACACATAATGAAACCAAACCCACAGCTGAGGAGTGGCTTCTGACTCATAGTGACCCTGTCTGTGGAGGGTTCCAAGGCTGTAAGTCTTGATAGGAACACACAGCCTCGTCTTTCTCCTGTGGAACAGCTGGTGGGCATGAACCAGTGAGCTCGCAGCTAGCAGCCCAGTGCCGAGGTCACATATGACACAGATACAGAGCAGGGAAGGGGTGTGAGGTGAAAATCCTCTGTTGGCAAGCCAGGAAGGGATCACAAAGCAACTGCGTGACTTATTCAAGACTGGCACGCCCCTGAGTCCGGCTACTGTCCAGCCACTGTCCGCCCCATGTTTTCCTCCAGGTGAACTGCCCAGTGCGAGGCTTGCTGACTGGTTTTGCTCTCTGCTTCTTCTGGACGACAGGCGACTAATGCACATAAACACGTTTCTCTCCTTAACATGGTTGCAGGTGTCTTCCCAGCTTGTGGCTTCACTTTTTACTTTGTTGATGGTGCCTTCTGTGAATCAAGAGGATCCTTTGTGGCACAGTGGGTTAAACGCTGGGCTGCTAACCTCAGGTCCAGTGGTTCTAATCCACCAGTTGCTCTAAGAAGAACGATGAGGCAGTCGGCTTTCATAAAGATTTGCAGCCTTGGAAGCCCTAAAGAGCGGTTCCACTCTGCCCTGTGCAGAACTGCTAAGAATAGGAATCTACTCACCAGCAGGCAGTGAGTTTGTGAAAAGACTTGGAACCTGAACAAGGTCATTCCGTCCATCTTTGTAGTCCACAGGCTGCGCTTCCGCAGCTCTATAAGGAAGTTTTAGCCTAACCCAAAAAGGGTATTTTCACCTGAAATTTACCTTCTCAAAATTTTAATTCGCCTTTGACCTTTACATTATTGGCACAGACAGAGTTCACTCCTGCCTGCAGGTGAGAGAGGGATGGTGGCAGGCAAACGAGGAGGCATCATCCCACTTCACATTTCCCACAGAGGAGAGTGCTGATCTAACTCACGGACCACACGCCCCATCCTTTGTACACCTGCCACCAAAGGTCATGGACCACACGCCCCGTCCCACATACACTAACTGTCCAGTTTAGGGAATACACACTGTGTTGCTCGTGCACTGGCCCAAGTACACCCGTTCATGGCAGGACAGTCCTCCCCTAGAGACAGTCCACACAGCTGTGCTTTCTCAGGGAGAGCACAGGTAGGGCTCTGGTATGCAGCTCCAAGCTCTGGGCCCAGAGAGGGCACCTCAGCCAGCATGCTGCAGGCTCTCAGCACCCAGCCCATCATGCAAGACACCTGGACCTGGCGTGTCCACACGCTCCAGGCAGCGTGACCAAGGTCCCAGTCCCACCTCTCCCTGCCCTCTTGCTGTCACAGAACCTCTGGTTGCATTGGCACCCTCTTTCTCCAGCAGGACCTGGTGGGCACCGGTCCCCACAGGAGCCACAAACCAGGCTGCAGGAAAAAGCCTCGTCCCACCCCGTGCACACAGGTGACCTCCCTGACCTGTGTGAGCAGACCCCTCCCCCCTCCCCAGAGGCCCAGGAGGGGCACGGGGCGCCATCGGCGGTCCCACCACTCACTTGACAAACTTGTCCACGTGCGACATGGAGGCCTCATAGTTCTTCCCTCCAAACTCCTGACAGTGAAGGCCCAGGAAGTGTGGCTTGTGGGTGTGGACGATCTGTGGGAGAAGGAGACGCAGTCAGGGAGGGGGCGCGGGGGTGTGGACGGCCTGTGGGAGAGGCAGACCCATCTCATTAGAGAAACACAGCTGAGCTCAGCAGCACTTTCAGGGCCCCAGGAAGGGGGCTGCCAGGAAGGGAGCCCCCAGGCCACACATCTAAGCTCCGCCATTCCCATGGCACCAAGTTCCGGTGGCTGGGAACCGACTTGACAGCACTCACCACCACCACCAGTAACCCCCTAAAGGCTGGTGGTTTGAACTGACCTTGCAGTGCTATGGAACAAAGGCCTGGTGAGCTGTTTCTATAAACGTGGTGGTGGTTGGCGTGGTTAGGGTGGGTGTGGTGTTGTTACGTGCCATCGAGGCGGTTCCGACCCATAGCCACCCTGTACCGCTGAGGAGCTTGAACCACCGGCCCTGTAGGTCAAACTGACCTTGAGGTCCAGCGCGTTAACCCAAGCGCCGCACCCGGACTTTACAGTCAGGAAAACACTAGGGAACCGAGCTCTGCTCTGTAGCACGTGGGGTCACCATGAGTCATAATGAACCTAAGAGCAGTGGGTTTGGGGTTTTTCTCCTTTAACAATAAAAACGAACATAAGCTTAGTATAGACACCTGGAAAAGCCCGAAAGAACAGATGATCTCAGTCACCACCTCACAGACAGAAGCAAGCATGGGATTCTGTGTGCACACGAGTGCACACGTATGTGCTTGGGTGTTTGGTGGTGCTTGTGTCTGTTTCATGTGTTCGTGTGTTCGTGTGCATATATAAATACACTCACAACATCTCTGGAATAGTCAGGTTGCCTCCCATCAGCGCTGTGAGGTGAGGTGGTGTGAGTCCTATGCCGGCGTGTGTCACACAACCTCAGAAGGAACCCATGGGGCCAGTCCTCCGAGCATGCGGAGAAACACAGGTCTGAGGAAGAACACACCCCAGGCCCCATAGCTGGCAGCCCTGGGTCAGTCCTCTAGCCCGAGCCTCATCGCCATCACGGTGCCTGGTCCCACTGGCTGTGGGCATTCTGACTTACCTCATGCCCTGGCAGTGCATCGAGTCAGCTCTGAAACCCTCCTCACACAGTACAGGCCCACCCCACACACACACCTGGACCCCACACTGGGCCGACAGTGCTCAAGCTCCTCAAAACTCACATACGGTGCTCCAGAGGAAGCCTGGCGTCTCCCTGCACTGAACAGGCTTAAACAGAACAGCATCCCGTTTGAAAGCTAACTATTAAAATGGCACAATCATGAAAATGTTGAGAAGGCAAGTGATGGGGTACTATGGAAAGAGCGCAGCACCGAGCCAGACTCCACACTCATAAATCTGACATGCACCACACACTCACAACCCACAGGAGCTCCCGGGTCCTCCCCAGGCACCAGTGGACCCTCTCCCATGACAGAAGTGAAGAGAGCTGGAGCCATCTCCAAACACTAGCTCCGTTTCCGACAGACTGCTAGGGCCTAAAAGCACAATGCAGCCACAAGTTCATCCCCATACATACTAAAGTAAGGCCTACATCGGTCATCTTTGAGTGGGGACGCTACTCCAACATAGAGGACAGAGAAGGAAGTCTGCATTTCACCGTCGTTTCTGTATCCTCTGAATCCCTGGGGAAACAGTGGAATCAAGTCTCCCAGGTAATAAATGAAGCTAGGAAGACGGAGCTGGATTGTAATTTACCCGAGGCTGCAAGCGTCTCCGGAGACAGAGAGCGGCTGTGCCCCCTAGTGGACGGATGCAGTGCCACCAGCGGGAAAGCAATTTCCGAGGGATCAAATGGGAAGCAAACACCCATTTTCAGGAAACAAGGAGATGGGAGGACACAGAATCCCCACCACAGCGATGTGGATGTGACCAACCATGTCAAGACAACGAAGAACTTGGGTTTCTTCGGCAGACAAAGTGCATGAAAAAATACAAGCAAAGACACAAAGAGCCTAGAGAATGAAGATGCACACCGGAGCGTATTCAAATAGAAGGACTAAAACCCCATTTTCCAGAGCTCCATCCTGTGTTGTGTGTAAGTAAGCCCTGAGCCAATCCCTGCCTCCAATGACAGCCAAAAGCCAAGGATGCCAACAAGTGAGCCACACAGGTAGAGGAGGTGAAGCCCAGAGAGAGGTGTCCAGTGCGGCAGTTCTACCCTCCAGACGTCACGCTAGCAGGACAGCGCAGAGCAGCACTGTAAATGCCAGGAGACTCCACCAGCTTTCTGGCCCCAAAGCCATGGAAAGGCGCTTGTGGGCTGGAGACCTGGGGGGAGACAGGTGGGAGTGGGAGCCCCAATTCAACCCACAGCAACAGAGCAAGGCCCCCACAGAAGCCCGGTCAGAGACCGACCTGAGCGGGACCAGACAGAATGCCGTGGCAACAAAGTGTAAGGAAACCTCCAGTCTGTACAAGCAAACACTCAGATACGATCCACAGTGACTCTCGGACAATCTGGGGAAAGTGACCCTTCTGAATGCCAAGACAGTCAGCACATGCCAGCCCACGATGACGGGGGTCTCAGACGCACCAAAGACTTGAAAGCAATAATTGTAACTCTGTTATGCGAGGGGGCCAAAGTGAACGTTCTTGAAGTAAATGAGAAGAATGGAAATGTCGGCGGAAAAAGGAAACTATGGAAGACAACTCAGAATTTGAGACCAAAACACACAGTTTGTCTCTGAAAATACTGGAAAGGCTCAATCACAGGATGGAAATGACGGTGAGCAGCAACTGGGGCAAGGTCAGAATGCCCAACGTCCAACATCGGGCAGCAGAAAGAAAAGTGACGTGCAGAAGGTCCCCGGACTGGATGAAGGACATGAATTCACAGATCCTGGAACCTCGGTGGATGACAAGATAAAGTCAAACAAAACCATACCTAGACAAAACATAATAAAATAAAGCAAAGCAAAAATAAGGGGAAAAGCATAGGAAAACCCCAGCATAATACATATAGGAGTTCAGCAATTTGCATGGTCATGGATTTGCCAACAGAAACCTGGGGACATCTTGAAAGTATAAAGGGGGGGCGGGGAGGTCAACCCAAAATTCAATATCCAGCAAGAACATCCTTCAAAACTGAAGGCAAAATCACAGCATGTACATCTAGACAAAGCCCCTAAGAGTCTCTGCCCGGCATACCTGCGCTCCGCCGGACTCTTCTGACGCAGAAAAGCAGCAATATGGCGAGCAACCTGGCAATGAACGCAGAGCATCTCCAAAATGGCAAGCATCGGAGGAAATAGAAAAGATTCTCTTTTCCCTCTAGAGTTCTCTAAAACACAGAGGATGAGACATTGGGGAGCTGGAGGAAATGGGGGCTGTGTCTCAATGACAGGAAATGGTAAGAAGACTCTATGGAAACTGTAAGAGCAGACCAGTGTGACAGCTCAGAGGCAGGAGGAAGGCCAGAAAGCCTCCGGTCTGGAAGCTGTGGGGAAGCAGCCCTCAGAGCTCAGGTGCTCAGAAGAGAGGAGTGTGTGCCAGTGAGAGGGACGGCATGTTTAGTTTAAAAGGGTAAACAACTGTTAGCCACAAACCGCTTCCAGAGAAAAGAAAAGGTGCAGAAAGAAGGGAAGTGTATGTAGCCTTTGGTATCTGGAGGACAAAGGGAAAAAAATTAAAACGGCAAAATGGAGACGCACAAGTCAACCCCACTGATGTGAAATCTATTCCAACTCAGCAAGCCTGCAGAACAAGAGAACTTCAAGTTTCCAAAGTTGTCACCTCTACAGAAGCAGACTGCCACATCTGTCTCCCGCAGTGGCTGGTGGGCTTGAACCATGGACCTTTCCATTAGCAACCCTATGCTTAATCCATTATGCCACAACAGCTCTTTTTGTAAGACCAAGAAAAAAACCACAAAACTGTGGTCAGCACCAGCAACAGAGCTCTTGCCCTGGGCGCTGCCAGAGAATGACAGCAGAGGGCGCTGTGGCGCTAGAAACCTTGTAAACGCCCACTGTGCAAACACTAACAGCAGAGGGCGCTGTGGCGCAAGGAACCTTGTAAACGCCCACTGTGCAAACATTAACAGCAGAGGGCGCTGTGGCGCCAGGAACCTTGTAAACACCCACTGTGCAAACACTAACCAAAGGCAGTTCAACTCAGTCTCTGCAGAGCTACCGCCAAAGAAAAAAAACCAAAATTTATACTCTAAACACATGAAAATGGCCTTTCCCCCAACCTGGAAAAACAACCATGAAGCAAACTAAAATTCTAAGTCTGCACTGCACATAGCACCAAATATATACAGACATTTAAGCACATGAAAACTACTTTGAATTCAAAAGAGACAGAGAGAGATGCACAAACAGGTGATTTACTTCCAGGCAGCAGGGGAATGGGAGAGAAAGACAAACAGTCACAGAGAGGAAGAAGGAACGACAGCATGGCCCAAGGAGAACACAATCAAACCGAAAACTCAGTAAGAGTTCAAAATCAGCCAGAGAGGAAAAGCTGGTGCACACAAAAAAAGTTTTAAAATAAGAAAAAGAAAATGGAGACAAAGAAGGGATCATGATTTGTTACTATGAGAGCCACTGCTGAAAAGCAAGCCAGCGGACCAGGATTAACACTTAAAGTTAGAATCCAAGACTTGCCCAACACTGACAGGGCTGACTCCCTAAGACAGCCTGGTGAGAGGATTTCAGAGGTGAAGACCAAGTCCTCAGAGCACCAGGTCACAAAGGGCAGGACGTACCAACACTCAGACTTGACCAACTGTGGTGCAGCCTCTGGGGAAACTCTCAGTGCAATAGTATCAGCCTGAGCCAACCCGGCCAGCCAGGCTTCCCTCCAAGCATCACAGCTCCAGAAAAGCAGCCATCACCTGTAAACTGAGCAAGCGCTGCCCCAGCCAGCCCCTCCTGAGGAGTGTGTCATGGTGCGATAACAGAGACAAAGGATTCTAGGCTTGGAGGGTCCCACAGAGGAGCCCTGGTGGCATGCTGGGGCAAGCACTGGCAAGACAACAGAAAGGTAGGCAGTTGGAAC